CGACGCTGTATTGCTTAAGTTGGCGACTCAAGGTGACGTGTTGTCTTCATGACACTAAGTTCTATCTGTAGATGTTAGTTATTTCGTAGTCCTGCGAATGTTTGTTTCTCTAGTTTCCTTAGTGAGAAAGATTGAATATCATCGTTCTGTCTAAGCTCCTTTATGACTGTACAATTTGCTTTATACTCTATATGTAGGTTTATATAATGTTGTGTTGTTGTTTGTGAGCATGTTGATGTTGTGTTTGAGTGATTGCTATATGACCTTTTCTAAGATAATGCTGCAGAATCTTTGTCATATTGGTATGATCTTTTTGGATTAAAGACACTAATAGACACAACTATGGTCAAGTCGTCTGAATAAAGTTGTTTTGATTTGAAGCATGAGATGAGACTTGCCATGGCCAGGTGTAACCATAATTATGATGAGTACTCAATGTAGTGAATTTTAATGATATCCTGTGAGTAAATACTCCTCATTCTCTCTAAAGATATTTAAATAAATTTTAACCCTTTATGTTTTGTTCATCAAGACATAGTTATTTGTGTGTCTTTCAAATTTGTCAATTTTTGTGTCCTTGATGGATGGAAAAAGTATTTGTCAAATAGAGATCTTTGTACTCGTAATAATTGTATAGCCGGTTTGTTTCACGCACGCTCATCAAACCAAAGTTGTTGAGTAGATAAACTAAATTGTCAAAGGAACTCAATCGAAAAGTTGAATTCTATTTAAAATGATAACGTTTCCGTCTTTATTGTGAGAGATTTAGACTACATCTGGTCTCGTGAGAGGATTGCTTCCATAGCCATTCAGTGCATATTACTATTACTTCTGTATTTGTAATTGAAGATGATGAAGATTTCTTTTTTTTGGTTTTGTATGGGAGAGATAGTCTCTTCTGATGGGAATACCAAGCTCTCTAATAGTTCTCTTGTTAATTATAGTGCTACTTAGAATTAAATAATTTTGGTAATTGATAAACAATCTCTGTGGATACGATACTCTCTTACTCTATATTACTTGTTGCGATTTCGTACACTTGCGAAAAACGCTGTCACTGATCCTTGTTCGGGAGCTTTTATCATTCGCGCTCTTGGACGTGTTCTCTACATTTCTACTGTGAGTAGTTTCTGTCCTCTAAGAGGTTTCAGTTTCCTCTGGAAGGTTTATGTGCTCTTCTTCTTCCCTTTGTACAATTTGCTTCCATTTTTTAGGGAGTAATTGTGTTGTTGGGAAGGCTGTGAAGGTGGTTGAGAGTGCATGAACCTTTCTAAGATGGATGCAAAGTTATTGTATGTCTTGGCTAAGGCCTTTGCAACCTGTTGGTCTGTCGCTGAAGGGGGATTAGAAGCAGATGGGACATCACCATGTGTTGAACCATAAAGATGAGTTACAATGTTTGAATTTAGGTTTGGAGAAGACTCCATTCCTAGGTTTTGGGTTTCATCAAGCAAGTTTTGGGTTTCATCAATTGCAATTTTGTTTTGATGGGAGAAGATTATGAAAAACTGGATGTAAAAGTTGAGGTGTGTTCGACGCTCATCGAACCAATTTGATAGAAGTAAATTCAAAGAACTCAAGAAAATGTTGAAATTGCTATTTAAAATGATAAGGTGTCCTCTTATGGGATACTACACAAGTATTTATAATACATTTCTTATTGTAATTGAAGATATAAATTTATGGCAAGAATCTCGGCTATGAATACCAAGCAAGGATCTTGGTAATTAATGACTTTTAATGATTCTTTTGATTGACCATTACTTTTATTCAAACGAATACGGATGTTGCTCGGTATTACTTACTTGTTCGGTCTTTAAGTTGCTCAATACAATCTAATAATTATTCATATTAGTAATAAAACTCTTCAATTTTTTTCCTTATAATTGGTTTATTGCACTCACATTTCTAATAATTTGAAATGTTTTACAAAAAAGTTAACTGCAAATATCTTGAAACATTACTTGTATTTATTTTGCCCTAGTTAAAGTTGAAGCCTAATTTTTTTGCCTCCTTATCAAATTGCCTCATATAAGTATATAAGTTCGTTACACAAATTGCCTCCTACCGTCATACTCATTTTCATCTTTGGAATAATATTCCTATTTGTCTTTTGGATTATTTTTCTTCGATGTAATGAATATTCATTATTTCTCTTTCAAAAAATATCTAATAAGATCAACATGTTATTGCTAATTATCACTTGATGCTTAAAATTCTCTTACATAAAGTTAATAATAATCCTATTATAAAGCGTTAATAATACTCATTTCGTCTCATATATATAGGACTAGTTTGACGTTCACATATATTAAGAAAAACTAATTAATATAATTGAATTATATTTTTTATTTAGTATTTTTTTCAAAATATCCCTTTATAATATTAAATAATAGATATGAATTGAAAATATAAATATATATTAAATAGGATATATTAATAAATGAGATAATAAATAATATTTATAAAAAAAATAGAATTACATTTTGAGACAGATAAAAGATATGAATGTATATATGTAAAACGGAAAGAATATATTTTAATATTTCGAGTAATGGAAGCGGTTTGCTAAGCAAGACAGTATACAATAAATCTAAAATAGTCCAATATTTTCTCGGTGTATGACAGTAACGAGTTGTCCTTTATTTGGTAACATTTTCAACTCTGCACTTGAATTGTTAATTAAATTTAACTTCAATAATTTACAAAAGGAATCAAAATGTTAAATAAAATATAATTTTTATAATGGAATTTACATCATTTCACGATTTAAATCATAGCAAATACTCTTGGACAACTTCTCCTTGAAGAAGTTGATATAAGTATTACTTATACTAGATTCACAGGCCAAATTATAAATATACCCCCTAGTTTTTAGTTTTTGCATCTTTAATTTAGTGCCACTCTAAATTTTATAGAGATTTATTTTGTTTCTTCTTATATTTTATAAAAGATATGAAGAGTAGGATGTCTTAAATTCGAGTCCTCTCTGTCACAAAATTTACTACCAATTTGGTGAATGTTATTCAAAGGGGAAACTACCCTTGCTATGTACCCTATATATTCTTTTGGTCTATTGGATCTCCGACATTTAAAAAAAAAAACATTTGGAACAATAATTTTGCCTTTTTCAACCATTCAATAAATATTTAATCAATTTAATTTTACTAGTTAAAAGATTTTTTAAAAAAAATTTGCAAGTTGAAATATATGCAATTTTATGAATTGAATTAAGTATTTGTTGAAGTAAGTAGGTGATCCCACATCGGAGAAATATGAATTGAGTGAATGACATATAAAGGTGAATTAAACCATTTCATATTAAAAGTAAGTACAATTTATTAAAAATTCATATTAAATGAATTTTTAATTGAATCTTGCAAGAGTAAAGTGTTTGTGCGGTGAATTTGTACTAGCATCATATGCTTGTCAAGTGACAATTGAAGGGAGAGAAGCCCAACTCATTATAAGGTCATATTAAATGAATTGTTAATTGAATTTAATTAATTTTTTCCTATGCCAAATTCTTAATAGTATTTAAGGAGTTAAAGTATTTTTATAAAGTTATGCATTTGGCTTATAACCATTAGATTAGATATATGACAATATTTTCATGATAATAATAAAATTTTGCTTTTGGAGGAGTCACAGGTTGAATATCAACTGTTATTATTAAGACATACTTGTACTGCCATCTAGAGATGACGTAGACTCCCTTAATCATTATAGAACCATACAAATTTGCTTTATTGTAGTTTGTACTAAAATCCAAACTTATTGATCCCACCAGTGAACCCAAAGCCAATCAGAAGTTGAAAGACTATGTCTAAAGCCAGCTTTTCAGAATGCACTGCCTTATATCGTTCATATCGTATATTTTTACCTTTAAATCTTGAGAGAATATTGCATTCCAAAGCAAATATGACAAAGACATTTGACTCAATATCAAAACTAAGGTGTCATGACATTGACACTTGATAACCAAAAACTCATTTCTCTGCGTCTTTCTCGGCTCTTCAATTCACATTTCTTCTCGTTATATTGTTGTAGTAGAAACTATATTTGATTATACTAAATTCTATTACGACTTACACAATGAACTCTTAAGTTTATTTATTTTAATTTTAATATCAATTTAATATTTTTGCATTAATCAATTATTTAGATTAACTATATGGATCATTTTCTTTTATTTCATTTGTTTATATGTGATAGAATATAAGTATTCACCAGGATTGATTCAGTCCTTTAGTTATTTTTTGGACTGATTTAGGCTTATTTTTGGGCTTAGTAAAATTCAAACTGGCTAAAAAAATCAGTGTCTTTTTTCTATTGAAGCAAAAAAAAAAAAAAAAAAAAAAAAAATATGTGATAGAATATAAAGTATTCCCAGGATTGATTCCCCAGTCCTTTAGTTATTTTTTTGGACTGATTTAGGACTTATTTTTTGGGCTTTAGGTTAAAATTCCAAACTGGCCTTTAAAAAAATCAGTGTTTCTTTTTTCTATTGAAGCAAAAAAAAAAAAAAAAAAAAAAAAAAAAAACCGGAATATGTTAAATCACCCTAATGAAACCGATTTTGCGGTCGGGTCCAATTTCTGGCTGAACCTATGCCCTTAGCTATACAAGTAGTAGGACCTTGAATCAATGACAGGTGAGCAAACTAAACCAGAATATGTTCATATATACTATGAAGGAGAAAATTTGATTTATCTATATTTATATACATTATATTTAGAAGGTAAGGCTCCAAAGGCAATAGAAGCAAAGCTTATTTTACCAAAGACATTTCAAAACAGGAAATTTAGAAACCCAACTCCTGATGCAATTCTATAAAAAGTGATCACAAAAAAAAAAAAAAAAAAAAAAAAAAACCGGATATGTTAAAACCTAATGAAACCGATTTGGTCGGGTCAATTTTGCTGAACTATGCTTAGCTATACAAGTAGTAGACTTGAATCAATGACAGGTGAGCAACTAAACCAGAATATGTTCATATATACTATGAAGGAGAAAATTTGATTTTCTATATTTATAACATTATATTAGAAGGTAAGCTCCAAAGCATGAAGAAGCTTATTTTACAAAGACATTTCAAACAGGAAATTAGAAACCAACTCCTGATGCAATCTATAAAAGTGATCACAATCAGGGCTACAACCTAACGAAATACAACGCCAATTTGCTAATGCTAATAAATACACAAGGAAGGAGTTTTATACCTGCACTCTTTTATTTTTCCCTTCCAAGAACCAACAATAAAAGGCGTTTTCTTGGAAACATTTTATCCTTTCATAGATATAAGCTAGATCACTAAATCTTCAAGATATTGTATTCCTGCATTTGGGAAAAAGAGCTAAAAAATGATATTTCCCTTTTCATTTTCCATAAGTGCTTTGCATAATTTAGTGAGCTAGTCTCATCAAAACCTTGTCCTTAAGGCAGATCCTCATTTCCATTAAAACCCAAGTAAGGCGACATGTATCCAATGCAATCAACAGGTTCATGTTCAATTTCTCCAGTAAAATTTGAGTAGGACGAGAACCATGGATACTCATGTTGTGGAAGATATTCAGATACTTGTGGATAATCCTGAAAGGAAAAAACCAAAAATTGATCAAGAAATTGCCAAAGGGAACAATTAGTCCGTAATTTATCCTTTCCCCCCATATTTTCATACCTTTGAAGAATCAAGAATTAGATCAGGTGAGACCCAAATGCTTGAAAAATTGCTCTCCGTTGGAGGCGGATCGAATTTAGTCATTGGTGTAATTTGATAAGGAGAAGCAATGGGGCTTGAGTATCGACTTTCGCTCTGCAGGTAACTTCCTTGTGAAGAAATGTCACCTGAGATGCTTAACTGTTCATTTGAGGTTACTGTACAAGTCAAATCCACATTGCTTGAGCTGCTTGCAATTTTCTTGGCTTTATGCTCTACAAGTGAATCACCTGTCTTGTGCCCTTGTTCATTCTTTTTCACAACGCGGCACAAAGCAAAAGCTCCCTGAACGAAAAAGTTCATGTTTATATAAACTAAATATGGAGATTGCTCAGAATCTGCTTTCCAGAGAAATCCCATTTTAAAAATTATGCAGAAAAGTGATCTAAAGATATTGTTTAGCTATTTGGAGCTTTGATGACCAGAATACGTGAAACCCATCGTAAAAGATAAATTTTCTCAACAATGGTGCAAAAAAACCCTTGAAATTACCTGAAAATTTGATGAGCCTCGAGAAATATCATCGCAGAGACGATATTCATGCATTACCCAGTCGGTTCTATCCCCCAAGGGAGCTCGCCCACGATAGAAAACAAGAGTCTTTCTATATCCAGTCACAGAAGATTGACAAACAACTTTCCTATCTTTACCGGTAGCTTTCCAGTAGCCTGCTTTGGTGGCTCTATTCGTTCTTGAGCCATTCGGGTACTTTCGATCCCTTGGACAGAAGAAGAACCATTCCATGTCTCGTTTGGGAAGGAATGATTTATCTGCAATAAATTTAAAGTTTAGTATTCAGAATCCTTTTCCAATAATGGTAATGTTGGGGAGGAAGAGAAGTAATGTGAAGAAATAGAATGTTAAAACGTCTAGAGGAAATGCTTTCCTTGGTGAAGGAATCCAGTGGAAACAACTTTTAAAAGAAAAGAAACAAAAAGTAGTAGCCTCCACTATTATTCTTGTAACGATTATAGTCCATAAAGGAGAAAGAAAGAAAAATAGTCATAAACAAAACAAACAACAAAGTGCTTTCCAAGACTTTAAAAATTTCCATGTTCACACTACAATTTAGTTCATTTTATACAAAGTTATTGGACTATAGAAGTCCCATAAATTGAACATAAGTTAGAAACCACCTAAAATTGATTGGAATACGCAATTTTTAATTCCTTAAGTAGTGAAAAAAGATTGGTTAGAGGAATACCTGGCAACTCCCATGGATCAAATTTGTACAAATCTATCACAGGAATCACTTCCAGCTCGATTTCAAGCCCTTGAACTTTTCTATGCAAATAATATCCTACCAATTCATCATCAGTTGGATGGAACCGAAATCCCGGAGGAAGTGAAGCCCCTCCCATTATACAATATGTACTAAAGTTATAGTCTTTCTAAAGCTGAATTGTAACAAAAAAAACAGAACAAAAACAGGGGAAACAGAGCAGAAAACAGAGTAGAAAGAAATGAAGGCTTTCTTGCTAGGTACCCAAGCTATACCTATTAAAGATCTGAAAAATCCAAAAATAGAAGCTTTTATTAACGCTAGATTTTTTGCCAAGAATCAGGTACAACTTCCATAGAATGCACCCATTGTAGAACATTACCATTTTCTTTGAAACTTGAACTTCTTATGATCAAAATACTAGAAAACCCCCCAGCCCCCTTGAAATTTAGTCACAAAATAATGATGAAATGGACAAAAAAAACTTGAGTTGATGCAATACCCAGAAGCTAAAATTGTCTAAATTCCTACAAATTAGTTATTAATGTAATAACAAGAAATTTCCCAAAAAAACTAATTAAAACTTCCAAAATTGAGAAAATAACAGCTGATGTGTCAAATGAGGAAAAGAAGAGAGTGAAGCTGAGTAGAGTAAAAATAGAGGTGTATGAAGTGTCTTTATATATAGGACTTGCAGAGGCTAAGAACTAAGATGTCCAAATTTTACAACACCGAAAGTGTAGAGATTGCTTGTCCCAAGCTTGCTCTAAATTCCACAGGAGTGGCCCACTTTTAAGCAACCCAATTCACACCTAGCACATCCCTTCCCGCCAAATTAATTTATGACCGTTGGCTATGGAATTTAATAATTAGGGGGGTTTTCTTTAAAAAGGAGAATAATGTAAATTTTAAATTCATTATAATGTAAATTTTAAATTCATTATTCCATCTCACAAAACATTTACACTTCATTTATTTAGTATAAATAAACTTAAAATGTGAAATTCATTTCTAAATGAATTCTATCTATAATCTATTTGCTTTTTATTCCTAAAATACTTTTAACATAATAACTTTAGAAGGCTAAGCAGATGGAGAATTTTGTCATAAATTTTGCTTGTTTAAGTTTGTAGAATTCATTTAATAATTTCTTTTTTTTTTTTACAATTTAGTTTAGTTATATTCAAATCATAGAATAGAATTCATAAAATTGAATTCAATTTTTTTTTTTTCATACCAAACACAAAAAATTAGATTTATAAATGAATTTCATAAAATTTTATAAAATTCATTTATTCCAAATAAGGGGTTAAATTTCATTTAGTTTTTAAGTTCAAATGTAAAAAACAAAACTCAATCAAACTCAAAATTAGATGTTAAACCTCAAATTTGCTTACAAGGATAGCTCTAATATGCACAAATTAGTTTGATTACATCTTAAACAAAAAAATATACCTATTTTTTATTTTCAAAATGATCCAAAATAATAATAGAATTGAATAAAGAAATTTCTTTTCAAGCATTAACGGACTATTTTTTATGGACTTGATATGGTCGAATTTGGTCAAGTTTGATCTCTGAGTCAAAAATCTCATACCCCAGCTGATTCTTTTTGTCCCCTACCAAAAGTCAAGAGGGAAGTTAAAGGGAAAAAAAAAAAAAAAACAAAAGTATGAGATTTTCAAAATGTCTTTTTATGAACAAAATTACTTAAATTTGCAAATTTTGAAAGAATAAGGTAATCAAGTAAAATTTGTTAACGTGTTCATCTTGATTTTTTCTTTAATGAAATTTTTAATGTTATGCATGTCTAATGTGCAAGAGTAGACTTTATTAGTGAGCACAATTCAGTCAAATTGACTAAACCGAATCAAATTGATAGGTTTGATTCAATTTTATAAACTATTAGATTTTGATTTTGATTTCTATAGAGAAATGAAAAAAATATAATTCAGTTTGATTTTTAAAAATCTTAAATTAAAAATAAATCGAACCAACTTGATTTGGATCGGTACAATTTAATTCTATATATAATTTTGATTCTTTTTATATATATATATAAGAAAAATCGATCCTTTCAATTTTAACTGATTTCATTAGATTGATTGATAGAATCGATAGGCTAGCAGACTTGCATAGTAATTTTTAAATTCATTGGATTCCAGTAAATGTCTCATCCGTATAGCCATTCAAAATGGACTTTAGCTCATGATTTAAGATTTAAAAATAAAAAATTGATAATTAACTGATCTTACTTGAAAAGAAACTGTCTTAAAATTGCATGTTTAACACATTAGAGGTGAAAAGACCGATCTTCGTATCTCGTCAATTATTTGTTTTTGATAATGGCATAGTTGACATTACAATCTTATTAGAAACCATATAAATCTTAGGCCTAATCTTTCAAGAGATCTCTGCTTATCTTAAATCATCTAATCTAATCATGCACATTATCTATTGGACGTTTGTAGAGCATGACGTCATAAGAGGTTAGTTGGAATTAAGGTTATCTTTTAGTTTGACATATTAATTATTAATTCCTGTCTTCAATTCAATTAGAAACCAAATTTTCATTGTAACATGATTTATCAAAAATAATATGATATGATTGTAATAGGGTGGCTCATTCTCTTGCCAAAAATGCTATTGGTCCTCCTTCGTAATCTATATGATTCAGTTTATTCCAAAAAAAAAAAAACATACAGTATGATTTCAAAGATATGAATATAATAAATCGATGTATTTATCTAGCAGTAAATATGATACCAAGACTCAATGTCACTTGTGTGAAATTAAGGACATACTATCGCGATTTTGTAATCTATACCGTCTAAGCTCGATTTACGGGTTCACCTATGGAGTAAATTAATAAAACTAGAAATTTAAAAATTATTTTGACTTTATATTTTTTTTAATATATGATCAAAGACATCCCGTTTTAAAAAAAAAAATTATTTTTTATTAGTTTAGTCCATAGATATACCGATATATGAGTCTGAACAAGTCAATATCACATGCTTATGTGACATTTATTAGTATTTTCACATGTCAATCTTGAAATTACTTATTTACAGTTGATATATAGGTGAATCAATATATTATATTTATCTAATAAAGATACATAAAACAAACAAATAAATGGTCATTTATTTTATGTCTTTATTACATTGGTATAATACACTCATTTATTTTATGTTTTTTTATTAAACTGCCTTAGTGTGTCGATGAACTCGTGTGATTAGCACACGACATTACGAAAATGAATCATACTCCTTTTTATCAAATTGATACCATGTAATTAGTTTTAAACATGTTGGAGTAATGATAAAATCACGCTATGTTTGGATTGGTGGAAAATATGAGAGGAAAAAGAATTTGGAAGGAAAATAGTATTAATTCTTTTCCATTTATTTGTTTGAAAATGAAGGAAATATGGAAAAAATAAAATACAAAGGGAAAATTGATTACGAAATTACATACCATTTTCTTTTCAATTTGGGAGAAAAGTTTGAGAAAAATAATTAATCGCAAATTTATATTTATTTATTATACTTATTTACAAAAACTAAAGATTAAATTCATAATTTTATTATTAATGCTCATCTTTTCCTCTTTATTTTCCTCCCAAATATTCAAATATTATTTTTTTTTATTTTTTTCTCTTTCTTTTCCTTTTATATTTTCTTTCCTCCCTATTGCTATCCAAACATACTATTAATATTTAAATTTTATCATTTTTTTATTTACATATCTTAATTTTGGGTTTTATTTATCAACAAACAAATTATTTCTAAATTATCTATGAAGTACATTTGATTGAAATTCATTGTCAAAATGTTAAAATAAATTATTTTGTCTCATTCTTCACTTCATTTTTCTATATTATTATCATCTTTTCACACTTTAATTAATTCTTTATCATTTTATTAATTTTATTTCTAGATATAAATTATAAACATTTTTATTAACGCATAATTACTCGTCCAAAATATCATTTTATTATTATAAGGCGCGTAATAAAAAGTTTTGTCTATCTAAATATTTAATAATAAATATAAAATTTAAATATTAAAACTAAAAAAATGAATCAAATTCCGATACTAACAACCCACCTACATATAGAGAGCCCGAGGAGGTCAAAGTTGTGAGGGCAAGAATTGAAAGAGGATTCTTGCAGTGTAGCCTCCTTCCACGTCATCCTGAGTCAGACAAAAACTTTTGCTTTTTTTTATGGAGATGATTGCGTCATCTACAGGTCTACATGGACCCCGCTGCTCAAAAAGAAAGTCTCAAAAGTGCTTACTGAGTTGTTAAACCTTTTGGGAATGGACAAAACGAGCTTTAGTGGGAGCTTAAAACACACTATGAACTCACACGTAGACAGTGGAAACTTCAATATAAGTTAGATTTTTTAAATCAAAAATTTTTTTAAATAGAAAAATCCTAAATTCTTTTATTACAATTTAAATTAAATTAAAATTTTTTTAAAATTAAAGCAAGAGGTCATTTGATTTAGTTGTTCATACTAACCGATAGATATTAACAATTGCTGAGAGTTGGTAACTGATAGTAGTTAACCGATTAATATTGTTGTTTAGTGAAATTTTTGATACTGTTTTCTATTAAAATACAAAATGATGATTAAGAATATATATATTTTTAATATTATAATGTGTAATGAATATTTTTTTTTTAAGTTTTTAAAGTGAACAATATTATTTTTTATTTTTTTATTTTAATATGCTATATAAATAAAAATATTAATTAGTAGTTTAAACCGTATTAATATTGTTGTTTAGTTGAAATTTTTGATACTGTTTTCTATTAAATTACAAAATTGCATGATTAGAATATATATTATTTTTTAATATTATAATGTGTAATGCAATATTTTTTTTTTAAGTTTTTTAAAGTGAACAATATTATTTTTTTATTTTTTTTATTTTAATATGCTATATAAATAAAATATTCAATTAAATTTTTTTAAAATAATATTTATAAAATTATTATTTATAAATAACTACGTATAAAAATATCATAAAAAATATTAATTTTAAAAATAATTAATGAAGTCCAAAATGATAATTTTTAAAATTAAATCAGCACGCTGATAATATATACATCCTAATTTCCAATTTTTTTAAAATAATATTTATAAAAAATTATTATTTTAAAATAACTACGTATAAAAATATCATAAAAAATATTAATTTTAAAAATAATTAATGAAGTCCAAATATAATTTAAAATTAAATCAGCTATAAGCTAATACAAAAAAGAATTTTAAAATATAGTTGCTCAAATCAGCAATTGATTGAGACAATTGCTAATTAGAAATGGATTAACTATCAACCATATGAATAAACTAAATCAAATCTTTCTAAATAAAAATCAACTAATTAATTAATTCGGTTGTTTATTATCAGGCGAACCTACCTTTATTTTTATGGGATTAAAAAAAATAATGTGAGTCATTGCATAATAATATACCAGCTGCACCATCTTTAATTCCCATTAAGTGGGACCAACTAAAGAAATGTTGAATGCAGGAGTATGAATCCTTGATGAGCTCAATTTTTCATATCAGCGGAACAACGAAAAAAAATCTAAAAGTTGCTTTAATAAATAGCACTTCAAAGAAGGCGGTTCTGTTTTCTATTTACGAATGTCTAAATCTCATGATGCAATTAAATGGAAGATATATATTAATATATATATATATATATATATATAATATATATATATATATAATATTTTTTTTTTATTTCTAAAAATTTTATTTTTTTTTTATTTCTAAAATTTTAACGTAAGCTAATTTTTAACTCCGGTCCAGGTAGAGGCGGAGGGAGGAGGTGGCTCTGCGGATGCCTGCTCCCCTAAATCCAATTCTCTTTTTGTCCTGAATAAAATTTCTTTTTTTAATTTACCTTGGAAAAAAAAATATTTTCTCATTTGGTCTTCTAAATTTTTGAAAAGTTTTTCTTGAACTCCCTTAAGTTGAATTCCTACTCCTCCACTTAGGCAGGGCCATTAATTTTCTGATTTGCAAAACCATAATCAAAATCAGAATCGGTTCGAACTTGAATCAGAACCGGGAGCTTGCGGTCCGGTTTTGGTTCCAAGTTTTGAGGAACCATGAACCGTCAGTTCCAATAACTGGCAAGAACTAGATGGAACCGGCAGTTTCAACAGAATTTTTTTTACTTTTTCAAAAGTTTTTGTGAAATATCCAAATTAATTATCCTAACGTCTATATAATGGCTAGTTTTAAAGGTGTTTTAAAGGTATTTGTGGAACGTTGACTTTTTAGATTTACTATAAATACCATTATTTTCATTTATCTTAACACAAAATTATTTCTCTCTACTACTCTCTGCTCTCCAATCTCTTTAAGCTCTTTCATTTATAATTGTCCAAATTATTGTCAAATAATTTCTCTAAAGTACAATATCTAATTATTGTCCAAGCAATTTGTTTAAATAAAAAATAAGTTCAAGCCCTTTCTAAAAACAAAAATAAATTCAAGCCTTTTTTTTAAATAAAATTAAGTTCAAGCCTTTTTTAAACTTTTTTTCTTAAATTTGTTTTTAAAAATTATTTCATACATAGTTAAATTTTAAATTTTTAACTAAAAATGTTACCTGATTTTTTATTTTATAATTATGCGATTCGCCAGAAAATCGATCGGAAAACCAGTAGAAACTATCGGTTTTGAAACTGTTAAGGAACCGTAACCGTTCAATTCCAAACCATAATCGGAACCATCATTTTTCAATTTGATTCCAATTTCATATTTTTTGGAGTCAGAACCATCGATTTTGGAATCAAACCCAGCGGTTCCGAAACCGTGGCAACCCCTACCTGCGGGTCTAGGGTCATGTGTAAGAATGAAGCCCAACCCAAATTGTATTTATTGTATATATCTTGTATATAGATAGTCCAAAACAATGAATATTTTAGAGTCTTTGATTTATTTGGCGTGCACTGAACAAACTTCTATAAATAGGGATAAACACTGTTATCGGACACTTTTCAGACATAGAAATGAAACAACCCCAATTTTAAAGTTGCAAAAGATTTAGATTTAAAATTTAATTGGAAAATTTAGAAAATAATATTATAACTATTACTTGTAAAATTAAACCAAAATAAATTGAAACCCATTTGAAAATCACTTAAACCCAATTCAAGTCATTTGGAAAACCAAAAGAATTTGTAAAAATCTCAATTGAACCGAATCAGGCCATGAATGTGAACCAAATCTAACTGAATCAAACCCAACCAAGATATTATGGCCAATTGCTTGAGGAGAGAGAAAAGCTATTTCCCTCATTTAGGGGTGGATATTCGGTCGATTCGGTTAACCATTTACTGAATTTATGTTTATCGATTTACCGATTTACCGATTGAGTATTTACCATTTACCGATTGATTCGAATATTTATCGAATTCACTGTTTACCGATTTACCGATAGAGCTTTACCGTTTACCGACTGATTTATTGAATTAATCAATTTACCATATAAGAATTGACTTTAAAAAAAAAAAAAAAAAAAATTTGACTTTAAAAAAAAAAAAAAAACTTTAAAAAAAAAAAAAAAAAAGAAAGAAACCAACATGACGTCGTTTTAAGTAAATCAGTAAATGGGGAATTTGAAATTTTTTTAATACTTTACCGAAATATTTATTGTTTACCAAATTTTCTCTAAAATATTTGCCAACAGTTTACCATTTACCAATTTACCGAACCATTTTTATCGAATAACCTCGGTTCGACTCGGTAAATCAGTAATTATCAAAGCTTCTCTACCCCTGCCCTCATTCTCTCTCCCTCTCTATCTTGTGGGTAAGCCCTTCTCGCCTCTGCCTCTTCAATCAACTTCTTGACTACCTAATGGCTAGCTTGAGGCAACGATCTACTTCTTTGGCAATGGGAAGCAAGTTTCTGGTCTTCTCTGCGTCGATTGGACCTCAGCTTGCACAAGCCAAGGCCTTTCCTCTCCAATTACTTCCTTTGAGCTTTCTAGTGACTTCTTGTCGTTTTCGGCAAGCCCAGTCCACAAATTGGGCATCGATTGACTTCTCTCTATTGCGTGAGTGTTTTCCCTCAATGAATTTCTACGTTTGGGGTAGATTTATGAAACCACCATGATTGGTGGCTCCATGGTGATAGACATAAGTGTTTTCCCTCTATTTTTTCAAGTTGTAGGTGCTCTTTCATTTTGTTATTCTACAATCAGCCGTCTAGAAGAGTCGTTAAAGACAAATATTAGAAGATATTGTATTTGAGAGTTATGAATATAATTTCTAAGTATTAGATAGTTCTGCAGTTGAGATCAATAAGTGTAATGAGTCGAACATTTAATATTTGATAATCGTTCATTAGTCCATCTAATTATTCATGGGATATTATAATAACTGTCATATTTTGAAACTTTATGTTAAAAAATATCAGTTTGATTTTAAATATTAAAATAATATCTTTTTATTATTCATTTACTATTTTACCCTTTTATTTTCACCTTTGTTACCGTTGGGATATCGTGTTGTTGTCATTGTCGCCGTTATTGTTGCTATCGTCATCGCCATCGTCGTTGTTGTAGCCATCATTGTCGCCATTACTGTCGTTATTGTCGTCGCCATTGCTGTTGCTGTTGTTGTTGTCTCCGAAGCTATTGCATATTTCATCGTCATCGTTGCTATTGTCATCTTTATTATCGCCGTCATTGCTGTCATCGCCTTTACATGTGTCCTGCTCATCTCAATTCATTTATCTATAAAATTTGATATTTACGAATTTTAAAATTTATTTTAATTTTTTACACGGCTGTATAATACTTATATTTTTCATTTCAAATGTAAAATATATATGTTGGGTAAATTATAAAAATTTATTATGAAATTAGTGGATGTCCTACATGGGCTAAAAGTTTATATTCTTGATCAATGAGTACTCTATCTTCTTAATTTGTGTATGACTCTATTAGGATTCCAGTTATGTATATATATATATATATATGGTTTCTCATCAATAAGAATAATACAATCTCATATTCTCTCACCATTTTCGTTTATTCTCTCTTTATTTCTCTTTCTATTTTTCTATTATTTTATAACACTTATCAACATGATTTTGTTCTACCACTTTGATTTTTGTTTTATTGCTCTCTTGATTAAATCACAAATCGCTTAAAAAAAGATCTCCCGATCAAATCGTTTAAAGAGATGATAACTTATAGTTTACAACAACCAAAGTTAAGATTGATATATTTTAATTTGTTCAAGTTTTTAAGGTATTATTATTATTTACTATTAATCGCATATAATTTTAGTAATTTTGTTTGTTTGGATCTATTATTTTAATTAATTATATTAATTATTATATGCTTTAATTAAAGTTGGTGGAAAAGATTGGATTATTATATGATCTTATAGTTTCTTGGTTTTTCTATTATTGCAAAGCTAATGTGAGCTTTTAGTTCCATGATTGAAAGCTACTGTGATTAATTGCAAAATGTTTTAATTTTTGGTTTCGGATGTTGGGCAATTGTTGCCGCAACAGTTTCTGAACTAAAATTATACCAGCAGTAAGTTGATGACGTCATGAAGTTTGATTGCTCATTTACTTATAAGTCAATCTCTTTATTTGTTAATCTATATCTGTATGTTCTATATTATTTGGTACATTTATCCATATGGGTATAAATTTTGTCATCTTGATAATTTGATTAATTTATTTATTAACTATAACAATGATATATTGTAGCTACGTTGGATCTAATATTTAATTGGCTCTTAAATTTATTTAATTAAATTGCTAATGGAATCAATCATTTAACTTTTTAGTTATATAAATAAATTCTTTATTATTTCTTATTATTTAATTAATTACTTTATTTTATTACAGTACTCAGTACAATTTATGGCTGTTAATATTATGGGCAAGAATTGTTCATAATTGCCACTAGATCTTGAAATACATTTGATTGCTGTAAATCTTGGAGATCAAGGATCCAATCAAAATAATTTCAAAAGTAATGATTTTCCTCTATTGAATATTTGATAATTAAATTTCCGTTTGTTATTTAGAATGGTTGGAAAGAAAGGTACAATTACCAAATGCTCATCATGAATGGATGCATTCATCGTTGCAAAGCTTCCAAAACTATAAGTGATTATAATTCTGTAGTATTATAAAGTTATTGTTTTATTATTATAATTATTACTATATATTATTCTTGTGATACAAATTTTGAGAGTTGATTTATTTTTCATAATTAAGATATTGTTGTTAGTATATTTGGAGCCTATACGAAGCTCTTGATCTAAATTTATCAATAATAGCTATACCTCGAATATGCTCCTGAAGTAGCAATATCGAGAGAAAAAGTTTTATGATAAACTTTGGATTTATTTCATGTTCCTTTATCATTGAGCAAAGGATTGAGCTCTTAATTAATATCATGAAGTTTGTCCGATTAGATTTTCTACATTAATGGAATGACATATATTATTGGACATGGGAGTCGTGAAATCCACCGACTAGATTTGATGCACTCCGTGAAGTGACTACAATAGTATATAATATTGAGCGTGGACATGAATGATGCCAAATATATAGAATATCAATAAAATCACAATTGAGTAATAATGTTAGCAATTATGGTGGCCATATAATTGAGAATCAATTTTACCACTAGAAGCAATGCAAATAATGAGACATACATTTGATTATGTACTTGTTGTACACTATAATATGGAAAAGCAAATTTGATTTTGGTAGTAAAAGAATATTTAAAGGCTCTAGAAGAACAAATATTATTACCTAAAAGAATGAATTTTATGCAATATTTATTATTCCAAAGGAGTAATTCATTTTAAATACCTCAAACTTAGAGAGTTGTATCAATTGTACCCTAAAATGATTAACCCTCAAACACCCCAATTTCAAACTTTCATAATAAGAACACCCTAATTTTAAATTCAAGTCTAAAAAATGAATAAACAGATTTAAAGATGGGACCCACTCTTGACTCACGATTAGTTTGTAACCCAACTTTTGTCAAGCCATTAAAGCACTGTTTAGGGAAAAAAAAAAAGAAAGTTAAACCCCTAATATCACAAAAAAATCGATTACACCTTTAACACAAAATGGAGCAATCCCTCCTAGCTTAATCAAGTTCTTGGCACTCCCATTGTAGAGACCAGCAATTATAACAAATCCAAAGAAAATCAAATGGAAGAATGACATTATTAGGTTCAATATTGGGATTTCCTTTATACTGCAATTCCCATAAAGAAATAAAAAGAAAATAAACAAAAAATTTCATCAGTTTCAAAATCCATTAATTATTAATACTTCATTGTCCAACTAAAGTTTCTTCACTAACTAATAAAATAAAGTAATATTTAGCTATACCAACCAGCAAGAAAATTAAATGATATGTAAATTAACAAGTCAAGTTTATAGATCCGATGGTGCTGATCACTCTCTATCTGTAGATGCTCAACTTTTGCCCCAAAAGGCATAGTAATGATAACCTTTTTGCATAAAATCGAATCGAGACATTCGATCGCGCTGATTCTCGGACCAATGGTCTGTGGCTAAGATAATTGAGTTGTTTGACTGTCTTTATTTTTTCAATTTTTCAAGGGTTTCGCAACAAAACCGAGCCCGGAAAATGCCTCGGATTCGCCCTACATGTTTTCCAGTGCGCTCTCTTGTTTTGCGTGCCATCCAGACAGATTTGGTAAAAATAAGCCCGACCCGATTTTAGGGCCCACTAGTGGCACTTGCCACCTAAGCCCTAAAATAGGGCCACTCTTTCCCCATTTGCCTATAAATAGGGCATCGGGAAATGTGAAATGGGCCTGTTTTTGGGTTGCTTAAGGGGAAACTATATTATTGTGAAAACTCAACCTTTTAATCTAAGAAAAACTTATATTTTCACTTAGATTCAAAGTCTTTATCCAATCATTTAGAGAAAAACGCCTCTAACCTAGTGATTAAAAGACCCACAAACACTTAGATTATTTTAACTCGGATTTATTAATTCAAGATCAAAGCTTTTGGGTTTTTAGTTCACTTTTACCCAAAATCTTTGGAATCCTTCAAAACAAGGTAACTTTTGAAAGCCTTTAACTTCTCGTCGTCTTTTCTTGCTTTTAGTGTCTTAAAAACACCACTCTTTACTGGTTGGGAGAGAAATTCGTGATCAACTAGAAAGCTTCTGACTGAGTCAAAAGTGGCGCACACCACTTCATTCCCAGTCAAAAAGCCTTAAAATCAATTTCTAAGTCTTCTTATCAGGGCAAGGTCTGCATGCCACTACGTGTGGCGCACAGACCTTCATTTCAGAGGTCCAGAAAATAAAAATCAATAAAATGGCCCAATTCGGAGTTCCTTAGAGTCAAGCACAGAGCTATCTTGCTCTGAATCGCGAAGACGACTCATTATGGACTGAATAAACTTATAATCAATAAGAGATGGGTAGTGATAGGTATATTTGTTCATCAACCATGATGCATCAAGACTTTGAATTCTAATCTTATTTAAACTTTTAAATTAATGCTTTTAATTTACTGTTCTTTTATTTTTATGCACTTTACTTTGATGTTCCTTAGTTTTTGTAAATCTAACCCATTTTTATCATTGTGAATGAATGTGGTTGTTATTTAATTGTTATGGATGAATATATTATGTGTTTGTGATTGTTTCGTCAAGTTTCTTCATTGTTTTTTTAATTATTAAGCTTAATGTGAATGACCTTCATGGGTCCTATTATTGCGTATTTGTAATAATTAATGGGTTGGGTAATTATTTGGAAATTAAATGGGTAGAATGTACACTTAAGAGATTTATTGTAATTCTTTTCTCTTTCCCCCTTTCTTTGGATGACTTAATTTTATGTTTTATATATGGAATAATATGCTTGTTTGCCATGATATTTTAAAACTGCATAAAAAGGTTTTATATCTCAATTAAAGTTAATTTTATTATCAATGTTGTGAATGAATGGTCAACGAAAGAGGTCGATTTCTAACTGGGCGGTTCGGGTGCCCAACACCTTCCCGAAACTATAACAAACTCCCTTACCCAGTCTATGGTTTAAAACCGAATTAGTCAATTCCAAAGAATCGATTAATTCGTGATATTTTCCCTAAAGATGATGGCGACTCCAAATCAAAATTCTTACCAAAGTAGGAGCCATTTTTTAATCCCTTTTGAAAAAAATGATGACCTTTTTTGAGGATTAATGAACGGGTCTAATAAGAGAAAACTGATTTAATAAAATAAAACGAACCAAGCCCGTTTCATTCCTTTGCAAAAAACCCATCCATCCTCACTATCCAATAGTAATAACTATTATATTATAAATTTATAATTCAGATCCACTAATAAATTTAAGGCCCATTCATTCTTGCCAAGGAAATTGTGATAAAAATTTGTCCATGCATAAGATTATTCGAATAGCAATACAAAGAAAGAATTGTCAATAAGACATATAGAAGTTCTGAAGAAATCAAAACCTATGGCAAAGGCAGAGAGTGAGAAGAAAGAAATCAAAACCTATGGCAAAGGCAGAGAGTGAGAAGAGCAACACTGAGGAAATCCAACTTACCAAAACCCTCTATCAATCTATTCATTGAACTCTCTTTCCCCAAATTCGATACTTCAACAAAATCCCTCTCCGTACAATGAATATTGTCGACTCTATTTTGAGATTTACTCTGAAGAAGCATTGCATGGTT